GATAAATATATTAAAGAAATACTTAATAGATATAGTTATTCTAAAAATAAACTTATTAGAACTAAAAATAGAATCTTAAAACTTAAATATATAATTATTAAGTATAGAAAATAGATCTACTTAATTATACTCTTTATATTATATTATTATAGAATACTAATTTATAGCCTAGATAATAATTAAACTAAACCTATTAATCTCTTTATTACCTCTAGCTTTTATAGTTCTAAGATCTTTAAGGAATTATTATAGAATTAAAAGAGTATCTAGTTTAATATAGTAGTACTAAAGAAGCTAAGTATAAGAAACTAGAGAGATTATCTTTATAATTTATATCTATATAAATATATAATACTAATTATAGTTTAAATATATTATTTAAAAGAGTTTATTAAGTTTTTAAATATTATATAATATTATTATAATAGGAAATATAAAAATACTAGCTATATATAAGCAGATTAAATAAAGAATAATAATATAATAATAGAGAGTAAAAAGATTAGCTTAATATTATTTATTATTTTAAAATATATTTAAAACCTAGAGTTAATATTAGATTAGATAATATAAAATACTAGTCTTTATATTTAGAATTTAATAATATATTATTTATTTTATAATCAGACTTAGTTAATTTATTATTCTATTATAAAATCTAATCTATTAATAGTATATAAATATTAAAATACTCTCTGCTTAGAAAGTAAAATTAAAAGCTTTATATAACTATTATTTTTATCTTTATAAATTACTATATATTAAAAATAATACTTATATTAATTACTAACTCCGCTTTTACCTATTATAAATAAAAATAAGAGAAATTAGAACTTCTTATTACTAGAACTTACTAGCTATAGATATATAGAACTCCTATAAAAGTATCTAAATAGTTATCTATCTAATAAGCTTAAAAGTAAGCTAATCTTAGAGATATTTAAAAGGATTTTTAATAAAAGATCTAAGGATCTTAGTTTAAAATTAGTAAAAATAAATATTAATTATATTAAAATAATATATAATAATAACCTCTTATTTATAAATTATTAATACCTTAAAAATATTATAAAATAGGTAATTAAGGAGAATAATATTTCTATAATAGAATATATTCTTAATCTATCTAAACTACTTAAGAATAGCTAAATACTATTCTATTACTACTCTTATTAGTACTACTAAAAGAATATTAAGTTAATTAAACTAAGAAGTATTAGAATAATATAAATACTAGAGTAGAAAGATTTAAATATAAACTAAAGAGTAAGTATTTTTATATTTCTATACTTTATAATTACTAATCTTTATATAGATAATAGAATAATTAAGCTTATTAAATATTTAGTATTAAATATACTTAATATTAACTAGACTAATAAGTATAGATATATACCTTTATATATATAGCTTTATAAGATATAGAAGGATTATTAGAGGCGGAAGAAAGATATTATACAGGAGATTATCTCCTATCTACTTATTAATAGTACTAATCTTATAGCTATAGCCAGAGAGGAGAATAGAGATATACCGCTCTATATAGTAATATAATCTATCTCCCTCTTACTAGTTAGACTTTTTCTTAACTGCGGAGCAAATAAAGGTATAAAAAACTTAGGTAGTAAGATACCAGTTAATTATACCAGGGATTCAGAGACTCTGATAATACCGATAAGAGAGAAGTCTACGCCTTAATGATGAAGTAGGACATGGCTCTTAGCTTTCCAAAGACCGTGTTCTCACACATCAATCAGCGGGCATTTACTTCACAATCCACAAGTCGACGTCCACTAGTCTCAGCTTAGGCAGATTAGGCATTATAAATGAGCGGCACTATCATTCTTATTGTCCTCATTGGTGGAAAAGCTACGAGTGAGGCCGCCGTGACAAAATCGAGTATCTGGAAGAACGTGGCTAGATCTTTGATACGGAACGGTAAATGTAGTCGTAGTCACGCAACTACATGCGCTCACATAACACTCGAGTGTACCCAACTTTTGAGGGAGTCTCATCACGCCATATTCAGCGCAGTGAGTCAGCCATAAATCCTAACTCATGGCGTAGCCTGAGTCTTGCTCTGCATCCAGCCCGTAGCACACTACCTTCGTTTAGGACAGCTTTGCTCTGATCGACACGGCTGATTGTTGGTTTCCCACCTCTGCCTGAGCTCGTTCCCGGAGTACCCTGCGGACAATCTTGCCCGACTATATTCGTACCGAGTTAGTAAAAATAGATATACAACGTTAAGGGGAGAATGGCACAAGATGCAAAATCGAGGCCGTTGATGCTTACCCGAGTCCTGGGAATGTTATCAACGAAAGCCACGCCACCTCTGAGCCACTTGTACTTTGCTAGTTTGCTTTCCACCCATTGCATGATTTCCTGCTCCGTCACATCCGAGTTCTTGACGACGTATGCCCGAGGAAGCTCTTCCCCGCTTACCACCACTCCAACCACGCCAGCGTCTATAACGTCCTTTCGGTCAAGGAGAAGGCCCTCTAGCTCAGCTGGTGCGACCTGAAATCCTTTGACCTTGATCAACTCCTTGAGCCGATCTACAATATATAACAGAGCTCCTGGCCCGTAGCGATCTGCGTAGCCAATATCACCGGTTTTTAGCCACCGAGTGCCGTCACTATCCTCAACCACAGATTCTCGAGTTGCCTTGGGGTTCCGCCAATATCCTCTCATGACGGTTGGACCAGCCACCCAAAGCTCGCCAGCCTTGTTAGGCTGGGTTATTTCTCGATCTCCGTCCATTATCTTGATAGTGATATTTGGAGCCGCTTCTCCAACAGTTGTTATATCTTCGCATGTAGGATGGCAGATTGTACTAGTGCAAGTGAGCTCGGTCATGCCCCACCCCTGGCCGATTCTCAAGGGGACGGGCCACAGTTTTTGTACTTCCTCAGCAACTTCTCGCGCGAGAGGTGCAGTTCCGCACGTGATCTCGGTGATGCTACTCAGATCGTATTTATTGCAAAGCGAGCTTTTCGCTAGAGAGAGCATTATTGGCGGCGCGCAGCCCAGATAGGAGATCTCAAAGGCTTGGACATGCTGAAGCATCTTTTCGAAATTGTATGCAGGCATGACATACGTGGGAACTCCCATCTTTGGGAAATTGATGGCATACTGTGTCTGTGCGGCTGCGTGGTACATAGGCATGAAGCAGAGAACTCGTGACCTTTGCGTTCTCTTCTTGTGGTTGGGGTAGAGGCGATTGTGGAGGACCACAGCTTCTCCATTTGCAACATACGAGTAATGGCTGATCTCAACACCCTTGGGCTTCCCAGTTGTTCCAGAACTATAGTTGAGGCAGCATATCGTTGACTTAGGGTCGGAAGGTTCAACCCAGTCAAAGTCTTTCACATCCTCGGCGTCTGCGAGGAGTTTCGTCCAGCTTCCAGCACCGAAATCTTTTGGGTTGCAATTTCCAAGACTGTGATCAAAGGCATATGTTCGAATTTGATATGAGCTCACCAACTTCACTTCTTCTTGTGCAGTACGGAGTAATCCGGTAGCGGCAAAAACAATGCTTGCGCCGCTATCACTCAACTGCTGAGCGAGCTCATTCGGGGTAAATGCAGGGCTAGCACCTGTGAATATGCCACCTGCCATGATGATTCCCGTAAACAATACGGGGAAGAAAATATCATTTCCACTAAACACCAGAACGCGATCGCCACGGCGTAATCCAGATCGCTGAAGGCCCAGAGCGGTTCTAGCGGACCATAGCCGAAAATCCGAGAAAGTCAGGAACCTTGTATCAGGGTTCTCAGTATCGATAAACACCTTGCGATCCGGTAGAGGTGCAGAAGCAGATCCGAACAACCAAGTTGTCAAAGAGACTTCTGGCACCGGCGTTGTCCAACGAGATTGGATAGGCATTTTCAGTAGCGCCGCGCTGTGGTAGATAAAGAATGTGTTACAAGGACCTGGCTGTGAAAACCAATATTCAGTCCAGAGCTATAACGATGAGAAAAAAAGAGAAGGTCAGAGGAGTAAAATGCTACCAACGCTTACATTAATACGCCGTCCACTACAAACAGCACTAGCATATCTTATAGACCTCGATATCACCAACACAACAGTCGTTGAATAAGCACAACCTGGTGGGGGAGGGGGGTGGACCTCGGTACTCTATCCACACCTTTTGAGTCTTGCATGATTGATCATGAGGCCTACCCCAGCCTCAGTCTTTCCAGTAGGATTGTGGAGCGAGATCGGCTCGCGAACTTACTGGTAGGTTACTTGCCCGTATACACCACCTCGGTTGATGTGGGGCAAGTCCGGTAAGTCGTCCGGGTTGCTACCCCAGATTCGAAGTAGAGGGTGTCATTTCATCACTGCTGCACAAACCGCGCCCCGGGCTTACCGGATATTAGGTATTTGCAACATTAGTTGAGGCACAATACCGAAGTCTATCGGTTCAAGGCAAGACGCTACAAAGGAGAAGAGTAACCTCTTGCCGATGCTGAGCTATTCCCCGGGAGAGAATCCTTCCTAGGTCTTGTGATTCATGAAGGGTAGTTTATTCGATACATTGTATTCAACTATCCGGCAATTGAGTACTTTTAGAACTAGTAAAAAGTGATTATAGGTTCATGTCGACAAATGGGTCGGGAGGTTATGGCAGTCGATCGTATAGGTACCCAAGCCGTGCGAATAGATGGGATAACGAGCATTTATCCATCTTGCGAATAGTTATCCCCATTTCTATAGATGGTGTCAAACATAATCATTTTTGAGAGAGTATTTTCGTATTAGATGCGACCATAATTATTCGTTTGTTCTTCGTCCAAGGGTCGCATGTCCGTAAAAGGTCCTATTGGGGCGCAGGACGTGCTCAGCTGGAATTTCTATTCCTAAATACGCAACACTAAAGGACTAGGCTACACATGCAGTTATGTAGTCACGATCGAGAAGGAATTAGAGTAGGTCTTAAGTCCAGCCAGGTCCTATCACCTTCCTCGTTGGGATCCTAGGTTAGGTGATGGTATCCTCGATGGCCCCTTGTCACAGCTTGCCACAGAATAGTCGTTACTTGATGAACTTGGCTTTGATAAACCACGAATCTACGTCTTTATGTGTCCACATGCATCAAATATCTCGCTGCCGGAGGCCTGGGATCCGCGTCCCGAGCGCGATCGATACGCAAGACGGAGTCTCCCGCATCGGCCAATAGCATGCCTGCGAAGGGAACTATTTGCACTTCACGTTTAATAGCCTTTCTACGGCCATGCTTGGCTTGTTTAGCGGAAGTTTCACTTACCAGGCGCAAGGCCCACGAACTCCAGGACTTTGAGTCCTCTCAAAGGGGGTGGTCCAGCCATGATCTTAGCCCAGTCTTAGTAGCTTTTTGAGTGGTCAGCAGGAAAGAACAGAATCAGATGACATTCAACCATATCCCACATGGTAGAACTAGGTACTTGCCCACCTCTCCCATGCTTCAGCCAAGCCCTGTTCACCACAGAACCGAGGTCCCATCCCATCATGCTTTGAGGTCCAAGGTGATCAGTTGCAATACCGGGCCTCCCGTGGAAGCCCCCCCCCCCCCCTAAAAGAATTCTCCGCGGACCCCGGGTCTACCTCTTGACTCGGTTTCGTGTCTCACAGATTATAAGGGTTTGGTCTCCGTATAGGGTGTATTCGACAGACTCGGATATCAGAGGTTCGAAAGCCACGCACAATCCTGCCTTCCTATACCTGCAGCCCTCACATAGGATCCGATACATCATCAACTAGCATCATGGCACCCCCTAGCCTCATCACAACCCCCCTCACATCTCTGCTTTCTATCCCCCACCCAATTGTCTTGGCCGGGATGGCCCACACTTCCACTGGCCCCCTAGTCGCCGCTGTCTCCAACGCTGGCGGCCTCGGCGTCATCGGTGGCGTCATGTACACGCCCGACCAGCTGCGCTCCATCATTACCGAAATGAAGTCGCACTTCATTCGTCCCGATCTCCCTTTTGGCGTGGACTTGGCGCTGCCGCAGGTTGGGGGCAACGCGAGGAAGACCAATCATGATTACACTGGGGGCAAGTTGGAGGAGTTGATCGACATTGTGGTGGACAGCGGCGCAAAACTGTTTGTTAGCGCAGTGGGTGTGCCACCGGCGTGGGTGATTGAGAAGCTGCATGCGAAGGGGATCCTGGTGATGAACATAGTCGGCCACCCAAAGCACGCGATCAAAGCCCTTGACCTTGGTGTCGACATGGTCGGCGCGCAGGGCGGCGAAGGCGGCGGACACACTGGCAACATTGCCTCCTCCATCCTCATCCCTGCTGTCGTCTCCATCGCCAAGTCCTACCACCCCCCTCTGCTCAAAGGTCAGCCGGCAATGGTTCTTGCGGCAGGTGGAATTTCGTCTGGTCGCAGCGTCGCCGCCGCATTTATGCAGGGGGCAGTGGGTGTTTGGGTTGGGACACGCTTCGTAGCGAGCGTTGAGGCTGGGTGTAGCGATGAACATAAGAAGGAGGTGGTAAGCGCGGGGTGGGATGACACAGAGCGGACGCTTGTCCTGAGTGGCAGGCCGTTGCGGATGAAAACAAACGATTATATCCGGGAGTGGCATGCTCGGCCGGTGGAGATCAAGAGACTATGTGACCAAGGGATTGTGCCAATGGAACATGATTTAGACGAAGACAGGGAAATTGATCCACCATTTTTGATGGGCCAGGTTGCAGGAGCTATTGACAAGGTCGAGCTAGCTGGGGACATAGTCAGAGACATGGTGAAGGAGGCCGCTGAGATGCTTGAGTTAGGGGGGAGATATCTCACCGGTACAAGAGTTAGACTGTAGACAGATACAGATGTGTGAGTTCAACCTGGGTGCTTTACTCCTGCTCGGTAACGGCAACAGCTTCGAACGTTGACTAGAAGTGCAACATAGGCTATCTAACAAAAGACAAAGAAAGAAAGGTTGAAAGAAGTTTATTCATTGTGCTGAGATGTCGTGCTTGATATCTTCCATTGTTGTTTTGACTTTATACTCAAACTCTCTTCCGTATGAAAGAAGTCTATTTGTTCTATCTGGCTAAAGTGGTGCCTTAAAGTCGACTAGTCCTGTTCATAACAAAGCGGGAGTTGCCTGGTCATAATAGGTGCTTTTCCACCCTTGAAACTTGAGGTCGAGTAGCTTGTGTATTCACAACCGCAAGAAGGCTACCCTTACTGTGGATAATCCGTGATTCATCCTCCAGGGTAACACCAATGTCCAGCTTGTTCCTCTTAACCCAATTTATCTTGGCCGTCAATAGCAAGGTCTGATCTACCCGTGTTGGCTTCAGGTAGCTTACTTCCAACTTGACAGTCAACATACCACTCCCCGCTGGCAGGGTTTTTCGTTGAATACCCTCCATGACGTTATGCTGGACCAGCCAGCCGCCCGCCATGTCAAAGTGAGCGGAAATGAATCCTCCGTGGCTTAGACCCGGCCACCCACTCAGATTGGGGCCAACGTCAACCAACATGAATAACCCCTGTATAGGGTATGGGCCGAGATCGACTTGGCTAGGAGGGGTTTGATGACGAAAGAACAGACGGGCACGAATGCCCCCATCGACCCGAAGGATCTCATCAAAGAAACTTTCCTTGCCGTGTTCCTTGTTCTTTATCTCGAAGAATACCACCCGAGGATCATGTAGTAGTGAAGCGCACCAAGGAATGGCGAGGAAGTGGTCAAGGTCAGGCTGATTCATAGTTTTTGAAGAAGAGGTTTCGTTTTGTATAAATATAAGGTCAGTATACTGTGGCTAGTATACCGGTTATCCTTCTTATATATCATCCCCCTCCAGCAGTATCGCAATTTCTCACCACAAGGCTAACTATTGGCATGCATGAGACTAGGCTATCTTCTCCAAGACGCTGGCCAAAGTTGAGCCTTCCCTCGGGAAGTTGTGGGACTGCCCCACCCTGGCCGAGGCATCTCTTTCTCCGCGGCATCGTTTGAGAGGCTTAAGTCTGATTCCTAACACCCTAGAGACCTTGGACCAGATAACTGATAGTGCTTCCACTCCGTCGTGTCTTGAGATACAAAACCCGGCCGAGTCGAGTGGCCAATCTTATATGTGCTGTGCTATTACTTGCGAGGCCAAGATATAGATTTTGGCAAAGGGCGAGGTCCATTGGCATATCGATATTGGAACACAATCAATCTTCATTGATTTTCATCATGGGTACGTGCCAGTGTAACTTCTCGTACGACGAGAAGTTGTAGTGAGCCAAGAAAGGGGGTTAGAGATGGTGTAGGCTTTTGGTCGGGGTTGTCAGGCGGTGGGCTGCGATCCCAACGTCCTTACTTGGCTTACCCCTCACCCCATACCCCATACTCCCCGGCTTTTAGAATGGTGAAAAGTTCCGCCTTTCCCCCGAGATTCCGGATGCCCCGGAAGTCATGTCTCGTTCTTCTTGAGCCTCGTTCCCCCCAGGTCTCTTTCACTTAATTCTAGGCAATCCGCAGAGGTTTAGTGCACACCTGGCTTCCCTCCCCCTTTGTTGTCTAAAGAAGGATAGATACTAGGGAAACCCGTCTAATAACATGAACCCCCCGCCCGCTACCACTAGGATTTCAGGTACGCGAAAACGTGCCCCAAAAGCATGCCTAGGCTGTCGAGCCCGGAAGGTGAGGTGTGACGCAGCTGTGCGAGGGGTTCCGTGCGTGAACTGCTATCTGGATGGGAAAGAGTGTATTTTAGTCAGAAGAGGATCAAGACGGTGACTTGACAATCTACTTTGTGACCTACACAAACAATACTGACTAATTCAAGCATACTCCCGTGCCGATCTGGGGAAGAGTCTGTTGAGACGGCGGAAATACATCACGATACAGAGACCGACAATTTGATCACTCATCTAGACGAACAGCTTCCTCAGGATCAGTCAAAAAAGGGACTAGATGAGCAAGTTACACCCGCGGCAAACGATGGCCTATTGCCCCTGTGTGTAGACGGCGATCAATCACCTCTGGACGCTCCTTCAGACGTGCCCAATTGCTGTCATCCAGGCACCGCACCGATTCTTGGCAGGTTTATCATTCTCCAATGTCTAGTCCGCACACAAAGCTCATTGATAGACAGTCTCTGATGATACATCACCCAACGACTTCATCGAGTATACCGATTGGTGCCCAGCTTCTCTTGACAATTTTTGGTCAGCAGGTCTAACACTTACCGACCATGTTGACTACACACGTTATTCATTCCTCATTATCAACAATCTCCGTTGCTTGTCTCAAGAAGACATCGCCGTTCTCCAATTGCAGGGCTGTCTTCAGCTTCCGAACAGGAGAATTACGGATGAGCTTATAAGGCAATACTTCATGCATGTGCATCCGATGTTACCTCTGCTCAGCGAGTCGCATTTCTGGCGTGTCTATTGCAGGCCAGAATCGGAATTTGGTACAGAGTCTGAAAAAATCCCCTTGCTTCTCTTCTGGGCCATGCTTTTTGCATCTTGCGGAGTGAGTGATAAATCATTCAAGATCAAGGCATCAGACCGCCGAAATCCATGTCTGGGCTAACACACGGTCAAAAGTTCATACCTCAAGCCACGGCTGTTGCTCTAGGCTGTGACAGTGTTCGTTCCATGAGAGAGGTTTGTTACAACAAAGCCAAGGTAACATCAGGGCCCTCCTCGCCTCAGAACGCGGGTCTAACTCCATCCAGAGGCTTTTTGATCTTGATACAGAATCGTCGCCGATAGTAATGGCCCAGTCTGCTCTCCTCCTCACATTTTGGTCAGTGCCATCTAAGCCCGCACCGTTCGGACCAAATACCATGTGGCTCAAGATAGCTATTCATTACGCGCAAATGGTCAATGCCCACCACGCCTGTTTACCAAACGCTTCGCCGACGAGGCCGGGAAACGCACAAGGGCCGCTGATGCGGCTCTGGTGGTGTTGCATCATCCGCGACCGCTCGCTCTCGCTTGGTCTTAGGCGGAGCCTTCAGATTTCCAAGCTTTATCAAGTTCCGGATTATATTGATTTCCAAGAAGAGATACATAGTTCAAAGGTATATGACCCAACGACAAAACAAATTCTTACTCGGATACTAGTCCATTTCATGGACCTTTGCATGATATTGACAGATCTTCTAATTGTTTCGTCTCAAGAAGACTATCATTATCAACTTTCAAAAGGCAGAAATGAAGTGATGGGAAGGTTATCAGCGTGCAGAATTGCTCTTCAAAGCTGGCATGATCGGATGAATCTCGAGTTCCCTACTTCAAACGAAAACAAGGAATTCTATCACAATTCCGTGATCATCCACGTGAACATGACACATATCTATTATAAGTAAGCAGTCGGAGACCGCGAGCTTGTGCTGCGATTCTATTTTGCATAACAACTAATAAGACTAGTGCTGCGATGCTCACCCTTCACCAGTGGGAGATTCTATTTGATGCCTGCTCGCCAGCAGCAACTGCCCATTCCGTTTCTCTCCACACAAGCCCCTCCAAACAGACCGAGCAAGTAGAGGAAGCAGCCCTGAGCATTGCAGATCGCCTCACTGAGCTTATGCAATTGGGCTTGATCCCGTACATATATAGTAGCGTGTTGGTGCCCCTTGGTTCCGGTCACAGAATCTGTAGCTAATCGTGGACACTAGGATCGCATTCGCAGCCATACCTTTACTATTACACGTCCTCGACATACAGCTATCCTCTAATCTTCAACTCACAGACAAGCTACTGAAAAAAAAGTACCGTCTACATGTCCTTATTGAGGCGATGAGAGAACACCAGCCGCGCTACGCTGGCGTAGAAATTGTGACCCAGGCTGTCCACCACATCATCGCCAACTTTGCTCAATTTCACGCGTTGCCGGCAACCAAACGTTGTAAACTCAAGAATTGGGCAGATGTCTTAGCTGTGCAACCAGCTTACTATCTACGCCTGACACTGACCATGGAGATATGTTTGAAAACTGCAACAATCCCAGCGACAAGAGACATCTCGCTCTTACTGAAAGAATTATACAGCTGTGCCCCAGACTCAAGTCTTGGTCCATCTTTGACTGACATTCCAAGGCAGGAGGGGCCAAACGCGCAATCAGATGCGGATCCTCCCGACAAACCAGGCCAAGACAGACCAACACCAAATGTCACCTGCATCGAGCAAGACAACCCCTTCGAGGCCAATACGGCTTCGTTTGACGACTTCCTAGCTGTCCTAGAAGCTACTACGAAGGAATCAGAAGGAAGTTCAGCGAACTCGATGCAGTTCAGTGACAGCGTATCGAGGAACGGAATGCAGGATGAACTAGAATATCTTCTGCCCGGCAATTCGGAGGTGTATCTCCAGGCTAGTCACTTCAGTGAAATCCCTGAATTTTCTTGGATGTCGGACAACTTTTTGGAGTTTGCTAGCGAGGGAGGCTCCGAAACGTTGAACATGACACCATCCCTGGATTCGGTTTTGAAAACTGCGGAGAGGGCAAGTACCAACGAGAATCCGCCCGTGGGAGATGTTTAACTTGACGATTTTACTTTTTTAGACTTAATTGAAATATTGTTTTAACATTTATTCATCTAAAGGATTAAATAATATGAGTAGTTGTTAAAGAGTGCACTCCGGGCCTGTTCAACCAGGGAGGCAGTTTATTAAATTTATCTCTAGATACAGAAAGAAGAAGAGTTTTTCCTGAGAGGGAGCAGCTTCCTAGCTGTTTTTATACAGTAAATCCCTTGTTAGTTCCGAGGGTTCGGAAACCCTCAAGTGACCGGGATCTCTCCTGTGTGACCACGTAACCCTAGCGGAGCTCTTTGTAGGTGCAGCCTGTAACATTTTGCTCACTTTTGCCTATAGAATTCATGCACAGAGAATGTATAAATTACAATTCACCCTTCGTACTTCCTTGCCAATCTAGGTCTACTACTGTCTATATATAACGCTTGAGTGTTATATTGTAGCTCTAGAGGTGAGCAGTATACTTAAAAACCGTTCTTGTTGTCTACCTACTTTTTATACTCAGGAATCGAACATTCCTTGGGGAAGTATATTCTGTACACTAGCCCTAGGTTTACGGTTATTTCCTTGGGGAAAAATAAATATAAAGATCCGGCTTCTTCCAGAGAGAGAATGACTCATTTTTTTGTAGCCAGTCCTCACTTCTTGGGTCAACGGATAAGTCAAAGTTCCAAATAATCCTCGCTAATATGAGGCGCATCTCCGCAAATGCAAGACTACACGAGATTGGTGTTAGAAAAATTGTCATGCAGTCAAACAAGACAAATAGAATACTTACTTTCTACCCAAACATTTTCGGGGGCCAAAAGAAAAAGGCTGGAACGCCTCCTTCCTATCGTTGACAAAACGAGGGTCGTCCAGCCATCTTTCCGGAATAAATGATTCGGGTTCCAAGAAGTGCTCTGGGCTGTGATACATGGGCCATTGCCAAATCCCGAGTATAGTCTCAGAAGTGTCAATTTTTGTTGATATCCCTAGGGACCAAAAAGTGAAACTTACATCGGGTGGGACATGTCGTCCGAAAATTGTGTTTCCTCCAGCTGGCGCTTTACGCGGTATAGCGTTCGGTACAGGAGGAAACAAACGAAGGGTCTCATTCAAAACAGCCAGCATATAATTCAGCTTCTGCACACTGAGAAGATGAATATCGTCTTCGGTATTGAAGCTTGATCTCACTTCATCAGTAAGCTTTCTCAAGATTTCCTTGTTGACTGATAACAGATAGGTCACAGCTGATAAAGTAGTTGCTGTAGTTTCGGATCCGGCGATGATCAAGATACTCGCGTTGTCGAGAAGTTCAGGGTATGTGAGTTTCTGAGATGGTTATAAGCAACAGTTACATTAGCAGAATGAGAAATCAGGCCATTGAGCTTACCAATTTCTCGTTCGTATTAGTCATTGTTGCCATGAAGTCGTGACGGACCTCTTCGATGGCGAGGCGCTTTTCCACCTTCTCTTTAGTCAGCTCGAAGTGAGTACGAAATTTCCTGGCCGCTTCCTTTGATACTAGCATCTTGATCAGGAACTCGCTACAGGGAAACTTTCGGATGACCGAGTTAAATGCATTACCCTGAATTCGATCGAAAATCAGAGACACCCAAGGATGGTACTTTGCATTTTCCAGGCATCCAAATGGCTCGCCAAAGGCCAAGTCCCCGATGATATCAAACGTTGTCCAATTGTACCAAGAAGTCATTTCCAGGGGTAAACTACCTCCGTTGGATGCCTCATGGATTCTTTGAATCAACAGACTGACATAACTCTGGATGAGGGGTTGCTGAGCCTGCATGGACTGAGAAGAGAATCCGTGAGACAGAATCCTTCGCATGCGAGAATGGTCCTCACGGTTGGCGCTGATAACACTATGTTTTTGCGTCTTCCAAAAATCGGGGTCCTTACTGTTCTCTTCTTCACCTCGCTTCCGATGCCCCATGACCTCGTTCCAAGCATCAGGGCTGAGAAAGGAGAGCTCATCCGGGGCAATTCGAACCACATCCCCATAGATCTGATGTAGCTGTAGAATTATTCTGTGCGCCTTGCCGGACATTTGCATGCGAGCATAGGGGATTCGCGAAATGGCCCAGAGCCTAGGGCCCGGATATCTCCTGAGTGGATGGAAAAGTAAGTTGTAAGCGGCTAAGCTAACAATATACCCAGTGACCTTTAACTAGATTAGAACAGACATCATGAACCCGGGAGAAGGAACGTACAACAATGACGGCGATTGCTATCAGGCGAGCAAAGGATAGCTCTGAGAGTAGCGATGGACCAGCAAGAAGAGTAGCCATAATGTTCAAGAAACCTGAGATAATCTCTGTTCTTGGAATCAATGAGTGGCCGCATACTTGGACCAACCCTAAGGTTTATATAAGTATCGGATCGCACAATCTCATCAGGGGTTCCATTTATTCTTCCAATTCCCGAGTATAGGTTCTACGCGAATTCCGGAACGGAGATCGCTCCGGCACTTGTTAGCATGGGTTGATCATATTGCTGGCAGCTCGTCATTAGGTAGAGTGGAGAACAGGCTGCCGCAAACCTCGGCATGATGTGGGATCATGGAGTCTCTTCCATCCCGCTGATTCGCTTTATCTAAACGGAAGGAGAGATACGAAGATCTTGTACGAATAGAGTCTAGTATCTTCTTGCCCCAATGTACCTATGTTTCCGCAATGTAGGGACTGTCTCTTCCCGCGGATTTCGTAAATGGGATCGGATTGAGCATGATTTGTCTAGGAGGCCTTATTTTTTTAACCAAGAGCAAAAGAGGGACTAGTTGAAACGACATGCTCAATTACTGATTTGAAAAACTCCTTATGACCCGCCATGCCATTAGACTAGCATGTCTATTCGAGCCAGCGACCAGATATGATATATTCATCAGCCAACAGAGTAAAAATTCTACGATGTACAGGGTCTTGTCTGTTCCTCTTCCAACGTAAGCGTATCAAAAATCTGTCCTGGATCAATGCGAGCAGCGAGAAGAGATCCTATCCAGTGAAAGTCCTTGTATCACCCCTTTCTGGAGACGAGGGCGAGGAGGGGCGAGGAGGTATAGCCATCGTTTTTGCTAAGCATTGACGATCGACTCCGACCATTAACAAGTAAATAATGCAACCTTGTGCCCTAATATGGGCAAGTCATGTTGCACTCACAAGTTTTGATCGGGCAACCGGCCTTCAATACTCGTATAGAGGGAGAAATCACAGGTGTTTTAACGCCAAAATCCGAACACCGCGATCCACTATACCTAACCTCCGTCCCATAAATCCCTGTCTGTGTCTGTGTCCGAGGAAAGCCGTAGGAAAACATTTCGAACACTTGCCCACAAACTTACATAGTACGTCCATGACAGCTTCCAATAAGCCGCTCTCCAATGCCATCAATATATCAAACTGTTAGTGCTAGAAATTGTCTGAAATTCACCTGCGTATGCCACACTAATCTCATTTTCGTTTTATTTCGGTCAGATGTTAAGCATACTTGTACCCGTACCCATAATCCCGCGGTGCTTTCTTGGGCAAAAATTCATTAAAAGCTATCGGCCCAGATGTCCATTCTGAAATATCTGAGCAATCTGGTTGCCTCAAGAATAGCCTCTAGCCTCGACTCCAGTCCAGTATAACACGTTGGTCAGCGTAGGCACAGCGCGGTTCTCCTGACACTGGCATTATTAAGAAGATCTGGACATCCAAGTAAGATGGAAAGAAAATTCAGCAGGGCGTAATCCGGTTTCCACAAGATGATTCGTCATTCTGTGTCACTCTGTTTGTTGTTGGCAAGCACTTCTGATCAGCAGAAGGCCCAGCCTCCAGATAGCAGCCCATATGAATTTACGGAGCCCTTACATTGCCTCATAGAACCCAAACGCAAGGTCACATTCGGAGTTAAGGATGTAAGATCACGAAAACATTGAGTTGGCAATTTTACCACGCCGGAATGTTGTCATCGCTACCTTGCGCTCTCCTCACAGGTCCAAGGTCTAGCTAAAGTGTGAGTGGATCCAAATTTCGCGTGCATGGAGGAAATCCCGAATCCGGGCAGGGGTAAAATACCGAAATGCCGCGGAGATTGAGTGAACCCCGGCCACTTCGTGTCGCTTTTCATATCTACCGATTGCTAGGCGTTGCCAATGGGACGACCTAGCAAGGACCGCTCTGAAATGGATCATCCTACGGGCCTGCAACTGGTCAGTGAGCCCGCTCCGAGTGAAAAACCAAGCAAGGCGTGCATTCCTTGTCGTACACGCAAGGGTAAATGCGACGCCGCGGCGTTAAACTACCCTGCAGTAGCGGTGTGTGAGCACGCAGTGTTCTGGTATTTGTGTCTTATCAATGGGTAGGTACCTAAACGCCGTAAAGTACATACCGATACTTCGAATGTTCTAAATCCAGGGCAACTCAATAGATTCCAGGGTAACTCAATAGATGTATATATCCCGTTCGGATTGATACTACGTCCTGCAAGTATTTGATTCATATACAATTCTGCTGGGTGGATGATGAGAGAAGTAATAATAGTGGAGTCAATATCTTGAATAACGTACTTGGCCTTCAGTCCCTTAAACTGTAGAGTATGAGTTATATACTCTCACGTGTGACAGATATTCAGTATAACTCTATATACTATAATCTCAAAGAGATCTTAGAAGCATGCGCATAATAAACTACTCATCGGCTTATTCATCCTCTTGAGAGACTTGTGAATAGTTTAATAGTAGCACACCTTGAGTCACTGTATATATATTCTCAATTACTCTGTACCTCCGGGTATTCGATCTTTCGCAATATAGAGACTCGGCTTGATTTATCCCTTCGGAATAATATTTACTTTTAATTATATATATCAGTAACAAGAGGCAGCTTATCCTTTATATAGGTAGCTGTATTTTCAGATATATCCCCTTTACTATTTATATACTAGGTATTTATATATCTAGTTTAGGGTAAGTATAAAATATAAAGATTCCTAATTAATATTTTAGCTTAGATATAAACTTATATATAAGCTAAGATATAAGTATTATATAGGAAAAAAAGCAGTTAAAAAGACTATATATAGCTAGGGAACTATATACTAAATAAAATAATATATTAATAACTAAGAGGCTTAGAGATAGATAATTATATTTAGAGATATTAAAACTCTATATAGGTAGTATACTAAACTATATATATATATAATAAATAATACTATATATAGTATAATCAGCTATCTTTTGTTACGCCCTGGTTATAGGCCGGCCCCAGGCTAAGTCAGGTATAGATTATATAATATACTTAGATACTAAGATAAGGTAATTAATACTAAGCAGAAGATACTTAGCTCTAAGTACTTAAAGAAATTACTAAGTATTCTATTATATATATATAATTATTTCTAGATAGATTACTAGCTTAATAGCTATTAATAAATAAATATTAGTTTATATATACTACTATAAATTAATCTATTATCTAATTTATTAACTAACTTCTAAGTAATAAAGCTATTATCTCTCTCTCCCTAGAATAACTATTACTAAATAAAGATATTTAATTACTCTTAAGCTACCCTATAGCCCTTAAGTATACTATTTATTATATATTAATAGCTCGCTAAGTTATCTACTGAGAGATATAATAGTAAACCTAAAGTTACTATAGCTCTAAATAATTCCCTACTTATAGGATAAAATACTT